AAAGTCACCCAACATGCCAGTGGCAGAGCCAGGGATGCAGCCCAGGTTTACTGAGTCCCAGTTCTCTCCATTAGGCCGCACAGTTGCTATTGGATTCCTAAGTCCCCCCTTCTTACCCCGTACAGTTTGTTATAATGGAATGGAGATAATGCTTGTGCTTGGAAATATTTGGCATGAGTAGTTGCTAACAGGGCTGCTGAGAGAAATCTCAGGTACAGCCTATGTCACAGAACTTGACCATTTTATTACATTGCTCTTACAGGAACTTTAAGCATGTGAGAAAAGTAGTGTATGTCTCTCTTGCCCCACAATCTTCTACAACATGTCACTTCCCACCCCCCATTTCCAGCTCACCATCCCCTACTGAGCATACTCCCCCAGACTCTCAGAGTTGACCAGACTGCATCATAGAATATCACGGTTGGAAGGGACCTCACCTCAGGAGATCATCTAGTCCAACCCTCTGCTCAAAGCAAGACCAATCCCCAGACAGATTTTTGCCCCAGCTCCCTAAATGGCCCCCTCAAGGATTGAACGCACAACCCTGGGTTTAGCAAACCACTGCTCAAACCACCGAGCTAGCCCTCCCTCCAAAAAGCATCTGAGCATGCTGCACCCCACAGCTACAGGACAAAGCTGGGCCTTTCTTCCAACGGTTGCTCCAAGCTAGGATTGGGGTGGGGCAGCAGTGTTATGCTATACAAAGCACACGGGATCTTTTCAGGGGGAAAAGGCAAATACGCCGCATTTATTGAAAATACAACAGTTAGCATATGCTTTTCAGTCACACACACACACACACACACACACACACACACAGTCCTGCCAATTGATGTTTATAGTTACCAGTCTGTTGTAGCTTGAGTCAATCTAATGGCCAGTTAGATTGAGCACGAGTGTGGAGCTGGGCTCTGTCGGTCGCCAGGGCCGGCTCCAGGCACCAGCTTAACAAGCAGGTGCTTGGGGCGGCCAAGGGAGAGGGGCAGCACCTGCGGCAATTCGGGGGCGGAAGTTCCCTCACTCCCTCTAGGAGCGAAGGACCTGCCGCCGAAATGCCTCCGCCGAGCGCGGGGTTTTTTTTTTTTTTGCTTGGGGCGGCAGAAATGCTGGAGCCGGCCCTGTCGGTCGCGATCCGATGCTCCGAGGCTTTGCAGGACTGAACCCAAAGTTCCATGGCAAAACACCCCAGCTTTATAGTTGTAAATTCCCATTTGAGTCCATGCATTTTGCAATGTCATCCTGTAATCATTAGTCCTTAAGTGGTGTTAATCTTGGGGTTTTCTGTTGTTATCATTTGATGGTTATTGTCGGGCTTCCCATCATTATCTCCTATTTGTTGTCTCACTTTTGGGGGTGCCTGCCTCACCTCTGAGGTCGTCAATGCTGCTAACGTGTTTAGCATCAGATACAATGGAGGTTTTCTGATTGTCTCCTGGTTTTTCCAAGTCTCTCACTTTTTCTTGACCATCTGGACATTTGTGATGGCTTTCACACCTTATCTTTTCCTGATGCATGTATTCCTCATTCACACAAACAATCTCTTACAGAAACCTTCAAAGGTATACAGACAGCAATATTGTATATCCAGCAGAATACATTGTAAATCAAGCCTTGCTAAATCTTATAACTAAAACAATTCACATTGGGGCTTCAGGCCCTCAACGTTCCTCTAATCTCCTTAACATAGACACAATACAAGATCCTGTCTCTTACTTTCTAAACCTTAAAACAAAGAAATGTATATTTAACTAGAGTGCCTAATTTGTAATACATATAGGAAACCATAGTAGACATTATAACTTATCCTAAAACAAAAGGGTGACCATAATCAGTCATAAGGATTGTTCTGGTTTGTCATTCCTTTCTGACAATACAAAAAGGGTGGCTGGCAGGATGAAATCAAATCATACATTAATTCTCATAGTACAATTATAAAATCCTGCTCGTACAGCAGCAGTGAGAGCAGGGAACCCGTCGCTCCTGTGTTCTCACCCCTTTCTGCCCCAGAGCACCCAGGCAGTATGAAGGAGGAAACATAAGAACAGCCATACTGGATCAGACCAAAGGTCCATCTAGCCCAGTTTCCTGTCTCCCAGCAGTGGCCAATGCCAGCTGCCCCAGAGGGAATGAACAGAACAGGTAATCATCAAGTGATCCATCCTCTGTCGCCTATTCCCAGTTTCTGGCAAACAGAGGCTAGGGACACCATCCCTGCCCATCCTGGCTAATAGACATTGATGGACCTATCCTCCATTAATTTATCTAGTTCTTTTTTTAATCCTGTTATAGTCTTGGCCTTCACAACATCCTCTGGCAAGGAGTTCCACAGGTTGACTATGCGTTGTGTGAAAAAATACTTCCTTTTGTTTTAAACCTGCTACATATTAATTTCATTTGGTGACCTCTAGTTCTTGTGTTATGAGAAGGAGCATAGGCGCTGACTCCATGGGTACTCCGGGGCTGGAGCACCCACGGGGAAAAATTAGCGGGTGCTCCGCAGCCACCGGCAGCCAAGCTACTGCTGCCCCCACCCCACCTCTCCTCCTCCTCCTCTGAGCACGCCGCGTCCCCGCTCCTCCCCCGCTCCTCCCCCTCCCTCCCAGGGCTTCCTCTCCCCCCCCACGCCGCCTAACAGCTGTTTGGCAGCGCTTAGGATTTTCCGGGAGGGAGGGGGAGGAGCGGGGCCAGGGTTGGGGGGGGGGTCGAGCACCCACCAGGCAGAGGGGAAGTCGGTGCCTATGAGAAGGAGTAAATAACAGTTCCTTGTTTACTTTCTCCACACCAGTCATGATTGATTTTATAGATCTCTATCAAATCCCCCCCTTAGTCGTCTCTTTTCCAAGCTGAAAAGTCCCAATCTTATTAATCTCTCCTCATATGGAAGCCATTCCATACCCCTAATCATTTTTGTTGTCCTTTTCTGTACCTTTTCCAATTCCAATATATTTTTTTTGAGATGGGGCAACCACATCTGCTCGCAGTATTCAAGATGTGGGCGTACCATGGATTTATATAGAGGCAATGTGATATTTTCTGTCTTATTATCTATCCCTTTCTTAATGATTCCCAACATTCTGTTTGCTTTTTTGACTGCCGCTGCACATTGAGTGGATGTTTTCAGAGAACTATCCACAATGACTCCAAGATCTCTTTCTTGAGTGTTAACAGCTAATTTAGATCCCATCATTTTATATGTATACTTGGGATTATGTTTTCTAATGTGCATTACTTTGCATTTATCAACATTGAATGCCATCTACCATTTTGTTGCCCCGTCACTCAGTTTTGTGAGATCCTTTTGTAGCTCTTCGCAGTCTGCTTGGGACTTAACTATCTTGAATTAAGCAGTGATTTGAATGCAGAACAAAAGCAGGGGGACAGGAACTGATGAGGGAAAGTGGTGGGGACTGTGAGCCAGTTGGCTGGGGGGAATCACTGAGGTTGGAGGAGGAGCTGGGGAAGGTGGGGAGACTGGGACTGGCTGGATAAGAAGATAAGCCTGGGTGTGGGGAAATTTGGATTCAGTTTGTTTTTTATTTTTTAAATCTAGGAAATCACACACAAGAACTGTGTTAAAAGAACCTTAAGGTTACAACATCAAGCACCCCGAAGTTAGAAAAAGCCAGAATTAAGTGTGCCTGTGCAACCTTATTTCAGCCTCCTTGTGTTTATGTGTTGTGATCATTTTTAATTACAGGATCATATACTATTTTTCATAGGACCCTTGCCTCATTCCATGTACAAGATGGAGCTAATCTGGAAATGAATCAGGGCTGTGTAATGAAGGAGACTTGCTTTGCAGAACTGGAACTTGTGTAATGAATAAGGGAAGGTACTGTAGGAAAAGAAAGGATAATCTCATGATTAAGACAGTTGACTGCTACCCTATAGCAAAGTACTCTGAAAAATCAACTAGTTGTCTCAGATTGGGCACCCCAAATTAGTGTATGGACAAGAGGGTCAAATTAAAGTTGCACAGACAACCTTAATTCTGGCAATGCCTAAATTTGGGTGCTTTATCACTTTGCAACCTTAATGTTCTTTTGACATAGTTTTTGGTGGGGTAATTTTACAGTTAGTTCATTCAGCAGTTAAGTCTGGGGTGCTTCAGAGTCATTTAATTAACCTCCACACCAAAAGAATCCTCCACATAGCAGCCCTTTTATACTACTTTCCTCCCAAGAACCTCTTGGACACACATAGCCGGTGGGATAAATAAATAGTAAATTAATGGAGATATCCTTATCTCCTAGAATGTCATCAAGTCCAGGCCCCTGCCTTCACTAGCAGGAACAAGTACTAATTTTGCCCCAGATCCCTAAGTGGCCCCCTCAAGGACTGAATTTACAACCCTGGGTTTAGCAGGCCAATGCTCAAACCACTGAGCTATCCCTCCCCCTTGCTGAATAGCCATGAACTGTGCTAGGTCACAGGATGCCTGCGACAGAACTGGGACCAGAACTCAGATCCCCTGATCTTAATCTTGTCGAGACCCAGATAAACCCCAACAATTCAGATAAGCGGCCGAAACTTCAGGCACATCGGTGACAATAGAGGTTTCCAAAAGGCCCCCGTGCAGCCACCCGGCTGCTCCAAACCCTTGGCTGCCCCTTCCCAGGTGGCATGTTCCTGGGGTGAGCTACAGCGTGCTCAGATGTGGGGTAGCCCAAAGCCGTGCCCTAGCAGATGCTGGAGGCGGAAGGGACATTATTACTCTTCACCTCCCTGCTCTTCCATCGCTGTCAGCCTCTACCAAGGCACCTTCCCGCCCTCTCACTAGAGACCTCCTCTGCGTGCCTTGCGCGGCCGGGTGCACTGCAGCCGCTGGCCCGACAGGTGGCGCTCAGGAGCTCTCGGCGAGGGAGGGGGCCGTGCTCCTGCCTATAACAAGATGGCGGATACACACACCCCCATCTCCCCCTCCGAGGCTCCGTTTGACCTATGACCCCACAACGTAGTGCGTCCCTCGCCCGGCCGGCACACGTGGTAGGGGCGGCCGGCTGACGGCGTGGAAGCATGGCGGAGTCGCGTGTGGTGCCCAGCGACCTGTTCCCGCTCGTGTTCGCCTTCCTGCGTGACAACCACTTCGAGGGGGCGGCGCGGGCCTTCGGCAGGGCGGCCGGAGTGGTGAGAGGGCCCTGAAGTGTGGGGAGCGGGGGCTGGCTCGGGGGAGACCCGACGGACGGGGGGCTGAAGTGAGGGGACCCTGCGGGGGAGCTGTGCCGGGGAGACCTTGGGGGGCTGTGTGGGAGGAAGGCCATGTGTGGGGGGGCTGTACTGGGAGGAGACCCTAAAGGCATGGGGTCCTGGTGGGATGAGGGAACTGTGCCAGGGGGGCCATGAGGATAGGGGAGGTTGCAATTGGGAGGTACCTGTACAGGGAAGGACCGGGAAAGAGGGGTTCGGTGGGATGGGGCGGGGGCTGTTCCATGCGGGGGGGGGGTAGGGGGTTGTGCATTCAACTGGAGTGTTTGACACATGTCATGTCATTATAAATTGAGAGTCCTGGGGCAAATTGCCTCCACCCATATGCTGTACTTTCACATTTATCTTCCTCTCAGGCCAGCTGTATGTTGTATTCGAGACACGAGTCTCTGCACAGAACCTCACTGAAATTGCAACGAAAACGGTGGAAAGTCATTGCAAAATTGGAAGGACTCCCCCTAGCTTTCTGCAGCTCTCCCTGCTCTCTCCCCACTTTTTCCTGTCTCTTCATAATTTGATACCAATAGTGATAACTCTTATGGAATATTTTTTGTTATCCAATCAATATGTTAAGTAGATATTTTCCCCTCCCATTAGGTTACATTATTGCAAGGCTTTAGCATATGCTTAACTCTACATACTGAGTTGTCACATTAACATTAATGAAACTACTCAGTGCGCAAAGTTAAGAATAAGGTTACATCTGCACTACAAACTTCTGCCAGCACAGCTTTGTCGGGTTGGCCAGGGGTCTGAAGAGGAGTGATCCCTGATTGACAGCTATGCCCGCAGAAGTTGCTGCTGTAGACACAGCTATTCTAGCAAAGCTGCACTTTTACTGATGTAGCTTGTTTCGCTTCTGGGTAGTGGATTTACTGTGCTTGTACAAAGCGCAGCTTTGTCAGTATAAGCTGTGTCCACCCTAGAAGCACTTTGCTGGGATAGTATACCAGTTAAAGAGCTCCTAGTGCAGATGTAGCTGAAGTGTCTGCAGAATCTTGGCCTTAGATTTTCATAAATCTATAGGTGGTGGAATCTTGTGTCCTAAATTACTCAAGTTGTCTCATTTTTAAGATAGCGCAGAGGCTTCTTAACTTTAGCTTCTAATGCTTATGAAGGTGTTTTATGAGCAACACACTCCACTTGCTAAATCTACCACCTGTTATACATCAATGCAGAAGTAGTTGCCTGTGGGGCAGAGTTTTCCATTCCACTGACAGTATAGGAGGCACTCCTTAGAGAAGTCTGTGTGGTTTGTCAGTGCTAATATTCCTTTATGTTTCTGGTTTACAGACAGACCAGGATCCTAATGCTGCTTCTCTCTTGGATGTCTTCAATTACTGGCTGAAGTAAGTGTCTCCCCTCCTGGAATATCTGTTGAGACAGACTTAGCCTGTCCATATCTGGGACATTTCTTTTGGTTACTTTCTATTGCAAACTGACAGAGCTCCCAATAGAATCCCTGAGACTTCCCAAAGGTGCTCCAGCAAAACCCAAGGAAACCAAGCTTCTGGTATTTCTGCGGTAAAGATATAAACAATAAGTTCCCAGCCATCTGTATCCATTATAAAGAAGGCCTGTTTTTAAAAAATATTTGCGGGGCACTTCTAATCTGCCTTCTGCCCACAAAGTTCCAGGCTGCCATTTCAGCAGCAGCTTATGGCCCTTTTAGCCACTTTTAACTCTGTTTCAAGTGAAAAGCTAAAATGTGAGTTGTTTGGTATTCCATACTTAAGGTCTGACTTCACTGGGCAGTTACCCCCAGTTGGATAAGCAACCTTGGGCTTAAAGAACTCCAAATCTGGGTCACAGGTTTTTCTGTGTAGGTAGAGGTGGTAAGGCTCACACCAGGTAAGAATCCATGTTAACTGTGCAATGACGACATATCCTTAGTTTTCGTAAAATAATGTGCATTAAAGTTGCTGCTGGGCAACAAAACAGCTGTTGAAAGGGCAGCTGATCTCAGGATAAGAGCTAGGGAGTGGGGAAAATAAGCCAGATAGTTCAGGAAACCTTAAAAGGATTAGAGAAACAGTAAAAATAAGGTATTATAATGTTTTCCCTCTTTCTTTTAGTGGTTACTGTCTAGTAGATATGCATGAACCCCACAAAACTACTTGTTTTTGAGAATTGTAAAATGAGCCATGCTGCAAGCTAATCCAGCTGTGGCCATTAAGAAGCTATTGGTGAACTTTTTAAGTAGTTAGACCCTATGTCTTCAGCCTCACGACATAGCTGAGGCATGTGCCTGCAACCTGCTGGTCCACACCCAGCTATGATACATTGCTGCAAAAGTACTACGGAAGCCAGGTTGGTTGGTCTAGAGTCCAAGTCTGGTAATTACGCTATGACTCCCAAATCCTCACACCATAGTGCTGCACTGCTCTCTGCCCCTGAGTCTGTTTATTCCACACCAGAGCTTATTGCTGTCTGAGACAAGAATTTATTTAGTGAGCGTAAGGTGAGGTTATTAGAGACTGAACCAACTGATGAAAGAAGCATGGGGGACCAAGGGCAATTTGAAGCAGAAATGTATTCCTGCGAGCTGGAAAGGTCTGCAGGCTCATGATCCCAAGGGAGCTGCCTCAGTTGCTGTGTTCAGGAAGGAATTCAGAGGGTGGTGGTTATGCTTAAAGCAACAGCCAGTGCTTCAGAGGGCTATGTGTAGTGAGCTTAGGAACCCCCATCTGATCTCTCACATGAACCCCAGAATGAGAATCTTGTTTAAAACAAACTATTCATACACCAGAGATGCTTGGAAAAATGAGGTCAGGCAGCATGTGAATCTTCTACCCCTTAGTGCAGGGAGAGGAAATATCCTGATAAACTCCTGAGGAGATAAGCATTCTGCTTTTCTCATTTTCTCACAGGTTCTGTTGTTTTTCTCTACCCAGCTCCCTCATGTGTTTTTAAAACCCAAGACACGTATTTCCAGATTCAGGGTCTCTTGAACAAAGAGATCCCTTATTTTGTGTTGAATAAATCTATTTAGTTGACAGGTTCACCCTGATGTAGAGGAGACTGGTATGCAAATGACTTGAACCTGGCAGTTGTGACATTATGTACTTCTCCATTGTAAGAATCCCCTCTTTTTATTATCTAGTCTAGCTAATGCCTTCAAAAGAGGAACTGAAAAGCAAAATTGAAAATTAATTGCACATATAAAACATAAATTAAAACTTAAAATTAAGGTAACTATCAGAAAATAGGGAAATGAAGAACCAATAAAAGTATGCATAATACAGTGATTGTATTTTTGAGAGTATAAATGCAAAGTATAACCTATGGCTTCAATTTATTAGCCTTTGGTGTAAGCATCATCAACACCTTCAGTTGCATCTTTAATGAGCATTAAAGGTACTACTGTAAAATAATAGAATTGAAAACAACCATCTGTAATAAGCCATATAAGTTAATAAAATCCTTTAACATACTGTATGTAAAATCTTTGGTTATTTTAACTGGAGGACCTCTTAATTAGCATCTTATCATAGCTCTAAAGAACTAAGTTATCTGTTGTATAAAGAGAACTCTTAGTGCAGATAGACCAGGTCTTGAATCCTCACTGAGAGGCTGTAGCCACTTTTCATTGCCACTTGCACACAACAATATACAAACAGTCCTTTCCTGTACCTGCAAACACCTGAGTACAACTGAACATTCTGCCCACCAAGATATAAAAAAGAAAAATCACGGAACTAACATGACATTGGCAAATTGTCACATTGTTCGTTCTGTTTGTAGTATCCCTTCCTCCAGCCCCTTGTCTGTCTTTTCTATTCAGATAGTAAGCTCCTCAGGACTGTCTCTTATGCTGTACAGTGCCCAGCACAGGGAGGCCCCAGTTCTGGTTGGGGCCTTCAGGTGCTATTGTAATACAAGTAATGGACAGGAATGTGGGAGGGTCCAGTGTTCTCGAGGGATAAGCTGCTTTGCTTGTAGTAGAACAGGCGAAATGCTAGGAAGCTCTCTGGAGCTGGGAGAAACTGTTTAGAACTGTCTTTCTCCTCCACAGATCCCCTGATGCTAAGAAACGGAAGGCTGTTCCCAATGGACCCCCTGCAAAGAAGTCCAAGAAAGAATCTTCCTCGAGCAGTGATGAGAGCTCCAGTGAAGAAGATGAGAAAACCACAGCCAAGAAGTCAGGTGGGGTTTGCAAAAGGCCTTTGGGCTGGGCAAGTGGGCATGGTAAACTTGGGAAAAGTTCTGAGGTTGGATTCAGAGCTTTGCAGGTAGTGTTTAGGGCTTTGAACAGCAGTCATGAACTGCAGGATCTCAGTTCTGGTAAGATCTGTACCTATCCCCAATCACTTACACTTTTCACTTTACATACTCATCCTTCATAATGTTTTTTTTTCCAGTTTGATTATAAGTAAAGTACTAAGCTTGCTATGAGTATAAATCAGGCTTTGTAGCAGCTGGAGGCATATTGTATCTGCACATTGGCTGAGGCTGGATGGGTGCTTTAACTGCAGTTGTCCTGTGAGCTGCCGGATACCAGAACTGATTACCTATCATGGGGCTTTCTATAGCACTCATTACTGAAGTATGTAGGTAGAATTAGACTCGTGATTGCTCCAGTGAGTTCTTCCTGGTGGTTGGTCATGGTAGAACGATCTAAATCGTGATTTAAATCACTTGATTTTTGAAAATTTATATAAATCAGGTCGAGACTTTGTAAAACTAATGGGAAAATTTGTCCTATTGCAATTTTAGTCAAAAATGTATAATGAACTAAATCAGGGGTTCTCAACCTTTTTCTTTCTGAGGCCCATACAACATGCTATAAATACTCCACAGCCCACTTGTGCCACAATAACTAGTTTTCTGCATAGAAAAGCCAGGGCCGGCATTAGGGAGTAGCAAACAGGGCAGTTGTCTGGGACCCCATGCTGTAGGGGCCACTGCAAAGCTACATTGTTCAGGCTTCAGCTCCGGCCCCGGGTGTCGGGGCTCACGGCTTCCACCCTATGAGGTGGAGCTTTGGCTTTCTACCCTGGGCCCCAGCGAGTCCAATGTTGGCCCTGCTTGGTGGCCCCCCTGAAGCCTGCTCCTAGCCCCCCAGGGGGCCCTGGACTCCTGGTTGAGAACCACTGAACTAAATTATAAATGTTTTTAAATGCCTTTTAAAAGGGTATTTTACATGAGCTGCTGTAGGCAGAATACTGAAAATAAAAACCTTGATCTTGCAAACACTTAGGCAGGTACTAACTTTCCCCACATGAAGGGTCCCATTCACTTAACCAGGACTATTCATGCTCCAAGTCAGAGGTTCTAAAACTTCATTGCACCACGACCCCCTTCTGATAAAAAAAAAAAAAAATTACTACATAACCCAGGAGGGGGAACTGAAGCCTGAGCCCACCTGATCCCTGCCACCCCGAGTGGGGGTGCCAAAGCCCCACTCCCCGCAGGTGGCAGGAGCGGAGCCGAAGGCCAAGGGCTTCAGCCCCAGGCAGGGGGCCTGTAATCTCAGCCCCACTGCCCAAGGCTGAAGCCATCAGGTTTCGGCCCCAGACAGTGGGGCTTGGGCTCTGGCTTTGGCCCCTGGCCCCAGCAAGTCTAAGCCAGCCCTGGCGACTCCATTAAAACGGGGTCATGACCAACAGTTTGAGAATCGCTGCTCAAAGTTAAACATGCATGAGTATTTGCAGCAATAGAGATTAAAACTGCAACCCTTAGTGGTCTGAAGTCTGTCACTTTAAAACAAAATTGCTTTATTGGTAATGAAAAGTTTAGATTTCCAGTACACTAACAAAGTTACTTTGAGCTTATCCACAGTCCATAATTTTCAAAAATAGCTTATTTAGGCTCCTGTGCTCATATTTAGGTACCTAAATGATGCAGGAACACAAGTCCTGTTGATTTCAAACCCTAATGGAGGTGAATAGCAAAGAATTTCACTTGGGGAAGTTTAATGTGTGGGAAGGTGGTGTGATTTGCACCACCTTGCTTTTTAAAATTGCTTATTAATTTTGAGTTGGTGTTCTCACAGTATAGATATTAATGAGGCCCCGGACTTGTCTTTTTCAGCATAGATGAGCATCCACTGTGAAACTTCTTAGCAGAAAACCTTTGGGTTGGGCAAATGACACACAAAGTAACTTGGGAAAAGTTCTTAGGCTGGATTCAGAGCTGGTGCTTTGCAGTTGGTGTTTGGGTCTTTGAATAGCAGTCATGAACTGCCTGATCTCAGTTCTGGTAGGATCTGTGCCATCCACCAACATTTGCACTTTTCACTTTACGTGCTCATGCTGCTAATGTAAAATCTGAAATGTTATTAACAATTAGGAAACTAATTAAAGAAATAAATACAAAACATCAGCTTCAGAAATAGGATCATAAAATGGGAAGAAAGTGAAGAACTAGCATTGTATAAATAAAACTGATTTAAATTAAAATCATAATTAAGAATTTTTTTTATTTTAAGTTTTGTTATCCAGCTTGCTGGTGCTGGAGTACCAGTTCTTCGCTACCCTGAACCTCATTGTGTTTGGACATGCTATTTCCTATCAGTCTTCTCCATCCCCTGCCACTGTCCCAGTGCTCCTAGGTGCGCTTTCCTCAACTCCTTTTCATGTCTAACTTACTAGGTTTATGACATGAGAGGGAGAACTCCCCTGGTGCTTAAAGTATGCTGTCTTGTTCTGCTGCTGTATAGTGGGTCCAATTCAGCCCTGGCTTAAGTTTTCGCAGGTTAATTGAAGTGAAGAGAAATGTGCCTGCTTACGCTAGGGCTGAGCTGAATTTAAGCCATATCTACACTAGCACTTATGTGGGCAAACCTTATGTTGCTCAGGGGTGTGAAAAAACATACCCCTGAGCAACATAGTTTGCCAGCATGAGCACTTGTGTGCACAGCATTATGTCGGCAGGAGATGCTCTCCCACCAACATAGCTACCGCCACTAGTTGAGCTAGTTTTATTATGTCAAGGGGAGAGCGCTCTCCTGTCAGCATAACGCGGCTAAACAAGCTATCTTAGTTATCTCGGTACAGCTGTGCTGCTGTAAGCTTGTAAGTGTAGACATGGCCTTACTAACTGCAGTGAGGGCCCTCAGGGAAGGGATTAAATGGTCTGTAAATCGGGAAAAAAACTCTCAAAAGAGGAGAATTGGTCCACAGAGCAGCCAGTCAGGAAGTACTTAGTGAAATTTCCTGCATTAGCCTCCATTGATCAGGCTTGTCTTTGTATTGCCCTGCCTCAAGACCTCCTGGTGGATGGAGGACAGCTGGGGGTCAGCTAAGGAAAACGAAAACACTGGTGTCTGTGTATTCTGCCAAGGATGTGCGACTTCCCCCTCTCTCAAGGTCCTGTGTCCCCTCCAGTGCCCCCCTGGGTTAGGCCCCTCACTTGTAACGTGTAGAGTGCTCCCCTTTTCAGCTTTGCCTGGTGTTGCACCCATATTCTGTCCAGCTCATGGGATGCTCACATTGGTTGCTGCCATGAACAGATTCACAGGAGATGAGGAGCAGACAGCAAACTCAGGAGTCGGGGAGGAAGGAATGAAGCAACAGGAAACTGAACTGAGACTTAATTTGGCCCTTCCCAATCCTGAATTTGACCAAGGCTTTGCTCTTGATCTTCTAAAGAACGTTAGGAACATGATCTCTAGCTAGACAATTTACACGCAGTATCGAGCAGAGGAAGAAAGCGCTGGCCAGGAAGGAGTGGATTTGGCTAAAGCAGGTCAAGCCAATGGGCCTGGCAGTTCCATAGAGCCCAGCAATTCAGTGAAGCAGTTTTCTTTGGAAACCCATCATCAAAAAGCAGCTCTCTTGGTTTTAAATGATATGATAAAATACCTGGATCCTGTAATGAGCACTCAGTGCAGAGAGTGTGTCCTTTTCAGTGGCACAGCTTGTGCATGGCAAGAAAGGAGCGGTTTCTGTCCCTTGGCTAGTCATTGTGGAGGCCTCTGCTGCACTCTGTGGGAAGCTGAGGTATATGCCTGAGTCTCTGAACAGGACATGACAGCTGCAGTGAGGCTGGGAATGAATTTGTCATCAGTGTCTGCTCTCCCCAACACAGCAGCTAAGTCAGCGCCTGTGCCGAAGGTGATAGCAAAGGCAGCAGCTCCTGCCAAAAAAGCAGAGAGCAGCAGCGAGGACTCCAGCGATGATTCGGACTCTGGGGAGGAAGAAAAGAAGCCAGCACAGGTCAGCTTTTCCTTCCTGTCCTTTCCAATGCACGTTCCACAGTAATGGAGAATCTTAAATGGGACCAACACTGTGTGGGGACTGGAACTGCTCTTGGGGCTGGGGGTTGGCTACCGAGCATGCGTCCTGGATTACTTATTCTATTTATCAGGCCTTAATCCAGACTCAGGGCGATTTTGCTTACACGCTAAACTCTTTGAGGTAGAGGACATGTGTTCTTAGCTCTCTATAAAGCACTCAGCATGTGACTAGAGCTCAACGAATAGGTTAGTCCTGTAACATGCAATCTGCCGGTGGACTGGTTCTAATGAAAGCAGAGGCAGATCTATAGGGTGCATTTCCCATCTAGTATTGCAATCTGCTTCTCTCCCATGAGACTGAGATAGACTGCTGTGGCCTGCTCCTTTAACCCGAGGGGAAGTCTGCATTTGTTTACACTGCCACCAGAGTAACCAGTGTATAAAATGCTCAGGACAAGAGGGTGTTATCCCTAATCACCATCTGTAAATGAAATAGTAGCATGTAACTAGTGCGGGGGGAGAGTAGTAGTATTTCCTTCCTTTTCCCTGTGTGCTGATGCCACCAAGCTGAGAATTAATATCTGGAGCTGTGTTCTTCATGAGCAAGACACGGAGCTGAGGTACCAGTACCCAATTAAGGCTGAGGACAAGGGCCAAGGTGCCCAGCCAGCACTGTTGAGCCCTCAGACTAGCGCTTTCTCATAGGGAAGGGGACCACCAGGCAGCTACCAACCCCAAATCTGTCCCTGTTTGATGGCTCTGGGTTGGGTTCTGAAAATTCACGTGCATGGAAGAGACCCTGGGTGGATTCCAATGGGCCATCTAGGATAATCATCCATGTGTTGGGATTTTCAGACCCCAACTTCTGGTGTTCTTCTTCCCTCTGGGATAGTCACTAGTCTGAGGGCTTAGTGCCCTCTTTGGGCACCCTGACTCTACGCTCTCCTCATCCTCAAGTCTCTGTTGGGTACATCTGCTCCCTTTCCTGTTAAGTGGGAGAGAGATCATTCCAGTTTGGAAGTATCGAGGTGCAGTGAAAAGTGTCTCCTGCTGTTGAAGATTAGGGAATTTTCTGTACATTTGGGGTTATGCACCTAAAATAGAGCATCAACTCTACAGAATAAGAACCCCCAACTCAAGGTTGTCTAACATTTGACTGGAAGTCTGTACAGATAATCGGTATAGAATGGGTGTGCCAGCTGGACTGTTGTCCTGTCTCTCACTCCTCTGTCCCTTTAGGCCTTGTTGACTAGAAAGGACTCTGATTAGTTTTTCCTCTCTCGATAGAAGGTAACCAAAGCCCAGGCCAAGCCAGCTGCCACCAAAACCCAGCCCCAGAAGAAGGCTAAGAGTTCCTCCAGCTCAGACTCCAGCAGCTCAGAGGATGAAAGACCAAAGAAACAGCCGCAGAAGCAAGTGGCAGCTAAAACAGCAGCAAAATCAGGTACCTGGCTGCACTGAGCAGATGTGTGTGAATTGGAAACCCCGGGGAAGAACCTGGGGTCTAGGTTTTTAAAAAGAGTGAAAATATTTTCATGACAAAACATTAATAAACATTTTAATTCACACAAGTTAAGCACACATGTTAAAGTTGTACAGGCTATCTACAATGCAAGCAGCTGCATCATCCTTGCTGATACTGAAATCTTTGTGGCCAGTGTGTGACAAAGCATCTCCCTGAATTTTCAGTGCAACATATTACCTGTGACAGAAATAGGTCATCTTGGGGGTAGCCATCTCGTCATCTTGGCAAGAATCCATTGTTTGTGAGATGGGTACATATTTATACTTGATTAGAACTAAGAGTTTGTCTCAGCAGCCAATTGATCAGGCAATAAAATGACATAAATCCCTAATAGGAGCTTGGAGTTTTCCAGTGTATGATGATCTACAGCAGATGTAGGAGTGTGGAATTTCCATGCCAGTTTTCTTTGCAAGATTGCAGTAATATTGCCAAGCCATGACCTTGATTGGCTGCATGCTGAAGCTCATTTTGAAGCCAAAGCATTGCTGTGTCAGTAATTTTGGTGCCCTCACTCTTTTTCATCACGGACTTCATAAATGGGATGGAACAAGTCAGGTAGTACTTGCCTTCAGGGGCTATGAGGTCACTTACTCCAGCTAAACAAACACTCATTTTGTGGTCAAATACAGCTGCCTTCATTATCTGTTCATTCATCTTGAGTGAAGTTACAGAAATGAGTCTGTTTAGAGTGCACTTCTTGACAAAGCATACAGCATCTCCAGGCCAAGAGTTTCACAGCACGGGACTGTCTTGTATTTATTGGGATCACTACAGCTTGCCACATGTGATTATATCAGTTGCAGATGTTCTTGTTTTCTATAACCTCTCGATTTTGCCTTTGTCAGTGTAATGGGCATAGCAATTTCTGTGTCACATGACTGATACGCTGTTCTGAATGAAAGATGCACTCAATTCTGTCAATGGACTCTCTATTTGCTATCTTGTTTTTTCTTTGTAATGGCTGTTGCCTCCCTTACTCTGTGCAATCCTTGTTCACCTGCTTCATGCATGTTTTCTTCACTTGATTCTTGGCAAATAATGCGGAGATTGTAGGAAACTGGCATGGAGCTCTTGAGACTCCTTCAACTGTAACCAGCATGAGTGTCATAAACCACCACCTCATCTAACTAGTGTTGCTCTCTTTATTTGTAAAATGCATCACCTCTGTTAACTCTGCTCTAACTTCAGAGCATTATATATATATTAAAACAAGTACTAAGCATGCAAGAAAATGAGCATTTTTTCATATTACAGGAAAAATAACTTATGATTAACTTATTTCTAATATAAGACAAGATGGGACAGGTAATATCTTTTATTAGACCAATATTACCTCACCCTCCTTGTCTCTCATATCCTGGGACCAACGTGTCTACAACTAGACTGCACACAACTTATTTCTAATATGATACAGTGATTACTAAATGCTGTACAAAATTGAATATTAGGGAGCAATAGATGTTAAAACCATAATGTATGTCTCTTCATTTCTGTACTTAGTCGACTGAAAAGGAATTATGCCAAACTGATTTTTGCTCACAAGTTCATGCACATGCTGTTGGTATAGCAAACATTTCTGATGAATTTTGGTGGCGATCAAGTGTGAGGGTCTAAATGTCAAAATTCAGTTTAGTAACAACCCATTTCTGAAACTAGCAGGTTCAAATTGTGTTGCCGATTTATAATAAAAAATTCCTCTAAACCTCTTTAGAGGATTGAGTCTGAGATTTCTATTTGGTCTATAATGAAAAAAGCAGTCTGCAGAGAGACTATTTAGAGCTGTCCTGTTAAACAGGAGGAGAATGAGTGGCTTCCCAGGAGAGGGCTGGAGAGTCTTGCCTTGTGCAGAGTGGGGAGCTGGTGCTGTCCAGGACATTTTTTGCATTGAGTGTGATTACCATTCCCTACCTCTCATGTTTTCTAAACCCTTTCTTTGCCTTATCTCCAGCAGGAAGTAAAGCTGCCCGCAAAGCGGCCAATGGCAAGGCAGAAAGCAGCAGTAGCAGTAGTGAGGATTCTGACAAGGAAAAGGCTGCATCAGCAAAGGTAAACGGTGACACAAGCATGGATGACTCCATTGGTGTGAGAGAAATCTAAGAGTCTCTCTGTCCTTGATCTAAGGGTTGTGTAAAGTAACCCCAAAACTGCACAGCAGCTGAGTGCACGCTCATGCAGTCATTGTAGGTTTTTGCAACATCTTGCTGGGGCTTTGTGTCTTAGGAGCCCCACCAATAGTCTTCTCTGCTACTGGGTGATCCATTCCTCTTTCCTGAGCCAGGAATCCCTTTATAGCTTCTGCATGTTGCACCCTCTGTATGGCTTGCGTTCCTGTTGCCAGATGTGCTACTCTACCAGCTTTACAAATTCCTGCACTGCTTCTGCAGTCCCACTGGGGAGAGTGTTAGAGCAACTTCCCTGAAATAGAGCTGGACCCCAACAGGGGAAGCTCTTAGAAACCTCCCCCAGAGAGCTCTGACTTCTCCCAGATACCTCACTGCTAATGTCTCAGCACCCCTGACAGTGAGTGGTGGTGCCCCATCTCTCTTGCTCTCTAACTACTAATGTTCTGTCTCGCCTCTTCTCAGCCAAAGAGTCTCCTGTGTAGGAATTTAATGTGAAGTAAGAAATCCTGATGCTCTGATGGTGAGGCCTGTAATGTGCTTCCTGGCATTTGAGAAATTTCCCTAGTTCCTGGCTCTATCCTGGAAATCTGATGTCCAGTGAAGAGGGGACTCTCTTAACACAGAGTAGGGGTGATGTCTGGGCAGCACCTATCTCTCAAAGCTCAGTCTCCTTAACGAGAAAGGTATTTGTCTGTCTTCCTTGCAATAAGGCTGTTCCCAAGAAAACACCACTGCCCAAACCTGCAGCCACCCAGGCACCCCCAGGTAAAGCCAGAGCCCCTGCCAAACCGAGCTCCAGCAGTGAGGACTCTTCTGACAGCTCGGAGGATGAAAAGCCAGCCTCAACATCAAAGCCGAAGCCCGGTGAGTACCAAAAACCATTGCTGGTACTGTGGAGAGGAGGCCTTCTGCCACTGCTAGCCCTAGAGAGGTTTAGCTGCCCATCTCTGCTTGGTGTGGCCCAGAAGGCTGAGTGGTGGTGGCGGTAGCAAGCACAGAACTGCAGGGGCTTTGTTCTAGCTGCATCCAGGTGAGACATGGCTTAAACCTCAAACCCAGACCTTCTCTTGAGGTGAAAACTATGTTGGTTGCATCTCTTTTATGTGGTCATTGTCTCTGAGCATCCTGCTCTTCAGAGAGCTATTAGAGGCTGTTCTCACGCATGATTCCCAGCCTGACTAGAGTTGGGAAGAAAATTCCCTGTGGGTAGATCAGTCCATAATTGTGCATTACAGGGCTTCATGCACCTTACTCTGAAGCATGTAGTGCTGGCCAGTATTAGGCTGGATAATGAACTAGGTGGACCCCGTGCCCTGGTCTAGTATAACAGTTCCTAGGACTCCATTAAACAAAGAGAAGCAAGCGTGAAATGTAGATGGGTTTCTTTACCCGGGGGGTGGGGGAAGGTAGTTGAGGCGCAGAGCAGTAAATGAACAATGCACAGTTGTCTCTGTTCTTTACTGGACCTAATAGAATAGAAACACAAATATGGTGCTATGCACATTCTTGTCTTTTTTTTTTATTGTTTGTTTCTTTTGCTTTTTTGGTAAAAGTGGTTATCTGTACAACAATTCTGTTATGTCAAAGCATTTTTAAATTTACTTCAGAAGTCCAAATAATGAAAAACACATCTGGGTGGCTTGGGTCTGGGGAGGGGAGGGGAGGGGAGGCATGGCTGTGAGTGCCCCGGGATTCCTCCGGGCAGGTGGGAGGCTTGGGGCTTTGGCCAGCCTGGAGCTCCTCAAGGGGGGCAATCTGGGCTTCAGCCAGCTCGGGGCTCCTCCAGGCAGATGGGGGGGGGGGGAGGCTTGGGGCTTTGGCCAGCCTGGGGCTCCTCCGGGAGGGGTGGGGGGTTTGTGGCTCCAGCAGCCGGGGAGACGTGGGGTCTCAGGGCTCCGGCTGCCAGGGGAGGCGGGGGCTAGCCTCCCCAAAGGGAGGCTCCACCCGCTGCCCATGCACCTGCTGCTCACCTCCTGTGTCCCTCCTCGGTCCCCCACCCACTGCTCGCCTCCTTACCCCCGCCACTTGCCTCTTCATTCCCCTGCCCCGCACACCCCCTCTGCCCACCATGAGAACCCCCACTCACTGGGTGACTCACCGCTCACCTCCTCACTCCCCCACTCGTAGCCAGACCCCTGCCCGCCTCCTCACCCTGCTGCTGGCTTGCCGCTCACCTTCTTACTCCCCCGCCACACCTACCCCCGCCACTCGCTTCCTCTCTCACACCCCACTCGCCCCCCAGTGCTCGCTTCTTCACACACACACCCCACTCACTTCCACACCTTGTTCCTTAAGTGTTGTGTGTTCCACGGTCGACCTGTCTCTCCAGAGAGGTGGCACATGCAGGAGCAACAGGTATGCTTTCCCTTCCCTCCCCTCCACTGCCCAGGAAACTGCTGTGGCTGCAGGGAAACCCCCTGGTGGCCGTGACCGCATTTGAGAAACTGGATTAGGCCACCCAAATCTAAAAGGGAGGAATGCTACGTTGACACCCCAGCAAAGGGGAGTGGTGCTGTTGCTGGAGGAGTCAGGAGTGGCAATACTCCGGGGATGTCCCCTCCCACCATACTGAATATAAAACAGTTGATCACAACTGTGCAAGTGATTAGGAGCAAATAGCATAAGTGGCTTGTTTTATATCGTCGCCTGGCTAAAACAGAGAAGTCCAGCATGACGCGTGCCGTATTTGCCAATGTGCAGGGCTGGTGTGTCTGCATTGGTGCCCCCGCTGATCCTGTCTCTTTGTAGGTCCGTACAGTGCGGTGCCACCCCCAAAGGTCTCAGAGCCAAGAAAGGGCAAAGCAAAGCCCTCTCTTGCAAAGGCTCCTGGGAAAAAAGCCGAGAGCAGTGACTCCTCAGACAGCAGCTCGGACAGCAGCGATGAAATGGAGCAGGCGCCCAAGAAGGGAACGACAGGTGGGTAGTGGGGAGAGGGAGGCTAGGAAGGGGTCATATTAGATTGTGCAGGAAGTGCCTGTGTGGGGTACAGTCGGTTCCTGGCCACAGAGTGGCTTCTGAAATTACCTGACAATTGTGGATTATGCTGCTGTTTTTGCCTTTTTAAAGGTCTCAGAGCAGCTAATATCTGTCCCAAAACAGGCTCCAGGAGCTGAGCTTGAGTTCCAGACTGTGCTCAGTCCCATCTCTAATTTGGACATGAGGTCAAATAAACCCTACTGGAATTCCATTTTCTTCAGTGGAGTTATGCCAGGGATGAGTCTGGCCCATTATTGAAGTTGGCAGAGGCCTTGCATTGGGTTAATGTATTGGGTTATGTGAATGAAAATCCCTTCTGTATCTGATCCCCCGCGTGTGTTGAGTAGGGGAGCATGTGCCCATGTGCGATGCTGCATTCTCAGCCCAAGAATGGGCTGCAAGTTAGGCCTGGTCTGTAGTGTGCCATGCAAGGGGACAAGGAGCCCTGACATCTGCCTACTGCAGGTGGATAGGAATCCCAGGGGCTGGGAATCTGGAGTCCTGAGTTCTTTACAATGCTGCCCACGGGTGAATTGCCTGTCTTTTCTGTCCAAGAGACTAATAACCCACCCTCCTTTTTAAAAAAAAAAAAAAAAAAAAAGAGTCCAGTGGCACCTTAAAAATTAACTGATTTATTTGGGCATAAGCTTTCGTGGGTAAAAAAACCATCACTTCTTCAGATGCATGGAGTGAAAGTTACAGATGCAGGCCCCTGCCTCCCCTAGCAGCCGGAGCCCTGAGACCCCCCGCCTCTCCTGTGGCTGGAGCCACCCCCCTCCCACTCCCCTCCCTGGTCATTCTATAACAGATTTAAAAGTCACTATTCTTGAACACAAAAACTTCAGAAACAGACTTCAAAGAGAAACAGCAGAACTAACATTCATTTGCAAATTTAACACCATTAATCTGGGCTTGAATAGGGACTGGGAGTGGCTGTCTCATTACAGAAGCAGCTTTGCCTCTCCTGGAATTGACACCTCCTCATCTATCAGGGGGTAGCCCTGTTAGTCTGTATCTACAAAAACAACAAGGAGTCTGGTGGCACCTTAAAGACTCATCTATTATTGGGAGTGGACTACATCCACCCTGATTGAACTGGCCCTGTCAACACTGGTTCTCCACTTGCAAGGTACTCCCTTCTCTTCATGTGTCATTATATAATGCCTGCATCTGTAACTTTCACTCCATGCATCTGAAGAAGTGATGTTTTTTTTTACCCACGAAAGCTTATGCCCAAATAAATCTGTTAGTCTTTAAGGTGCCACCGGACTCCTTGTTGTTTTTGCGGATACAGACTAATACGGCTCCCCCCTGATACTTGCTACGCTCCTTTGTAAAGCTCTTGCAGATCCCTGGATGAAAAGTGCTGTGTGAGATTCATGGTAATTATTTCTCTTGCAGCCAAAGCAAGTCTGGCTAAAAAAAACCTTGCCCCAACACCTGCTGTTGTGACCATCAAGAAGGGTGGATCCAGTTCGGACAGTGACTCCGGTGAGTGAGGGAGCAGGGATTTGAACTTTTGATGCGGTGACTGCACATGTCCCCTTTCAGCCCAGGGTCACTCAGCAAGGACCCAACCACCTCTCTGCTAGGACTCTTAGTGAGAGTGAGTCTGAGCTCCCTGCAGTGTCCATGGAAAGGTAAAGGGCTGCCTCTGAAAACTGCAGCCTCCTGTATTGATGTGGTGGGAAGCACAAGTGAGTGGCACAGACAAGAACAGTGACTAGTCCAGGAAGGTCTGCAGATTGCAGGGTGGTGAAGGGTATTCCCTAACAAGTACCTATGGCGGGATTAGGAGTTCTTTTTTTGAATCCATTTCTGGGCTTTTCAGGTCCTCCATAACAGAGTCATGGCTGGAACCAGGTGTCAATTCTCTAGGTGAAAAATATCCCCCTTATGCCAGGTCCAAGGTGGGGAGAAAGGGGAATCTTCTTAAAATAAATCTTCAATTCCATTTGGACCACTGCTAAAACACAGTCTGGAGTGTGGAATAGAAAACTCAAATGGTGTCCTTTCCATCTTCCTAAGTTCACTCCAGTCTGTTCCCCTTTTCTTTTTGTCATTGATTCCCTTCTTTCTGTTTCATTCTGTTCTTTGATCCCCACTACACACTTTTCTTTTCTCTCCATTATTTCCTTCCTGGCTCTCTCCTCCCTCTTTGCTCTTTCTTTAGTGAAGCCAATACTCTTTCTTCAATCCCGTAGTTTCTACACCACTCCCCATCCACTCAGCGCCCTCTCAGTGCACGCACTCTGACGAAGGGTTGGGCCTACCTCCTGCTGCTGTTCCTCATTCTCCCAGTAAAGAAGAAACATGGAAATCTTTAGGGCACATTCTCAGCCCTAAGTCCTTCAGCTCCTGTTGCCTCCATTCCCTGGGACGGGGGCAGGAACATAGGCAGGAATACATGCTGTGGTGCTCTATTCTGGCCATTCAGAGTGCTTATCAGACTTCTCTGCCCACCCTGCCCCTTCTCTGGCTCTGCTGTTGGCCTCGCCTCACCTCACTTGACGATAGTAGTCTGGTGAGTGCCAAAAATCCAGTGGCAGTGGTGCCTCCGTAAAGTGTGAGGCTCAAGGCCACTGCTTTGCCTAAAATGACCACTGTCTGGGGTCCCTGGTGGACTCACTTGGTGGTATGCCCCTGAAATGTACTGACACTTGCGGATGTGCTTCTCTTGTCTAGATTCCAGCTCTGAGGAAGAGAAGGTAGTGACCAAGCTCACTGCCAAATCACTTGCGGCGAAGGGTCCTGCCAAACCAGTGAAGGGTCCTTCCAAGCCAGGACAAGCAAAGAAAGGCTCCAGCTCCTCCTCGGACAGCTCAGGTATCAGGACAGGAAGGGATGGGGATCTCACCCCCACCACTACTGAGCAGGTGTGAGTGCCGTGGCTACCCTCCTAGTCTGTGTGTTCCCAGCTGTGGTACCAAGAATACAGAGGCACAGGGACACTGTCTAATCAAACAGACCTGATATTTGCTGACCAATTCCTGATGATAAAAGCTAAGCATGCAAAACCAACCCCATGCAAAGTGCCAGTTCTCTTGGGCATGAAGTGTGGGGAAACAGGTACCCACTAATGCTTCATCACTCACAACTCCTACACCTCTGCCGCATAGCTGAAATACAGGGTACTGGGGAACTGTTCGGCATGTATGTTTGTTTGTTGGATGAAAAGCCACTCGGGGGCTGAACTTTATTCTCCAGTGGAAAGAATACAGGGGAAGGAGGAGGACAGTCCCATCTCTAACCCATTTCTCCAACAGCTACTGTCCATAAGAGTGCTTGTAAACCACACTAAAGAGCTGCAGCACAGTTTAAGAGCAGCTAGTGCAGTGTGCTGCCTTGAAATTGTAAACCACCCTTCTGAGGGGAGGGAACAGGAATGGCCCCAACTCAGCTCTGATTGTTAGTGCCATTTGATTCTGTGCTAGCGGCAAGTTCCCAGGGCTCTTCAGCCATGTTGCTAGGGCCCAAAAGTCATTCTTGTTTGGCAGTATGTGTGGTTCAGTCCAGTTCCTAGTGGGCAGGTGTCTGACACAACCGCTTGTCCCCCTGTGGCTGTCTCAGCAGAGGTAAAGCATCACTTGGAATATGGAGACTGAGCTCCCCGTTGACTTGGAAGAGCCACTTCTGAGGATCAGAGTTGAGATGTGCTTGTGGGGGGAGGAGATGGTAGCTGCCCATGCTACACCTGCTCTAAGCAGATCCCATAAATCTCTAAGGCTGTTATTCTGCACCTTTCACAGAGTCCCAAACCAAACAGGTTTTGCTTAGGTACTAGTGTGGAAGGGATTCCAGTTACTGCTCCTGCTTGTCTATTTTGGTCTGGCTGAACAAGTCTGTTCAGTACTTGGCTATTCTCACTGGAATCTTCTTGTATTGGAAACTTCCCTCCCAGATTCTGACAGTTCTGAGGATGAGACCCCTGCAAAGCCTGCAGTCAAACCAGCTCCACCTGCAGCCAAGAAGCCTCCTGCTGTGGCAAAGAAAGCCCAGAGCAGCTCTGACTCAGATAGCAGCTCCAGCAGCTCTGAGGAAGAGAAGAAAGCCCCTCCAGCTAAGCCAGCCAGCAAGACAGCTAAGCCAGGGTCCAAACCCTGCACCCTGGGCCCCAAAGAGGGCAGCTCAGATTCTGACAGCTCAAGCAGTGAGGAGGAGCAGAGCAAACCAGCAGTGAAACCAGCCAGCAAATCACCAGGGGGCACTAAAGCTGCTGCAGGGAAGAAAGCAACTGCCGCTAACAGAAGCAGCAGCTCGTCTGACAGTTCCAGTGATGATGAGGAGAAGCCCAGAACAGCAGGGACTCCAGTCGCTGGGTTGAAGTCAGGGAAAGGGACACAGAACAGCTCCAGTTTGGTGAAAGAGAAACCAAAGGCTTCATCCACACCTGCAGCCAAATCGCCGGCTACAAAGAAGCCAGAGCCCAAGCCAGCTGGTGGCAGTGAGAGTAGCTCCGAGAGCTCCAGCGAGGAGAAGGGAAAAGCAAATGGAGGTAATCTGTGCGAGCCAGGAAGGGTGTCTGTCAGGCAGTGGGTGTTGGAGGGCAGAGCATATGTGGAGCCGTCTTCCAGAAGCGGTTTCCTAAACAAAATTCTGCATGTAACCAGCAGCCACCTCCACACACTAGAGGATGGTTGCCCAAGAGTTTCTTATCCAGTGCTGCTGCTCTAGATTGGCCATTAATGGAGTGTCTGTCATTGTTCCTGTACCACCCTACTCCAGACAGCACATGCTCACGGTGCCAGCATACCTCAGTCTGACTCGTGTCCCAGTGGAGAGAGACGCTGCTCCCCTTCCCCAGGTGGAGGCTGGTCCCATTGAAGTCTAACTGCTATTGTTTTTAGCAGGTTCGATTAAGAAGAAGCGGAAGAGCGAAGATGACCAGGAATTGGAGACACCAGACAGTAAGAAAATTAAGACCAAGACCAGAACGCCACACTCATTTCCCAAGGTGAAGCAGGTGAGTGAGGAGAAAACGTGCTGAATCTTTCTTGTCTCTCAGTCCCAGCAATCTGCTCTGCTTTCCCTGGTGGTCGAGGCTGCAGGAGATAGTCTCCCCCTCCTCAGCCAGCCTAAGTGCCCCTTATGTGGAGCCCAGAGAAGATGCACATTGTGATCCCAGCATCTTTCTGGCTGAGGATGACTGTATGGACTCCCTCTGGATCCCCTCTGTACTGCCCTTACTGTCAAAGGGAAGGATCACAATTTCATGTGGCCTGGAAAACTGGACCAGGGAGCAACTAGGATTTCCCCCAGTTTAGTGTCCTGCATTGCTATGTGGGCCAGCCAAGAGAAGGCCATGTGCAGGTATTGACTTAGGGTGACCTATGTTTTTCTCTAACAGCCAGCTGTTCCATTCCGAAGAGTAAGAGAGGAAGAGATCGAGGTGGATTCCCGTGTAGCTAACAACTCATTTGATGCAAAGGTAGGGACGAGTCCAGCCAGAGCAACAAACTGGCATGTTTTGCGCCTAGAACACAGGTCATCTGTGAAAGGGTTTTCATGGTGCTTGTGGGGAGCTCTCCAATCTGAACCTCCCCCACCAGGAGGCTCTACTGGGAAGTACATGGGCTCTGGCTGTGAGGAGCTCCCAGCCCCTCCCGCAGAGGAGCTGGGTGAAAACTCCTTTAGCCCTTGGAAGTCGTTACTGGGTAGTATACAAAGCAGGACGTAGTGTTTGCCATGTTGGCTGTTGAGTGCTGACCTGGCCCCCCTCTTCCTTATCTCACAGAAAGGAGCTGCAGGCGACTGGGGAGAAAAGGCCCACAACGTACTGAAATTCACCAAAGGCAAATCTTTCCGCCATGAGAAGACAAAGAAGAAAAGAGGCAGTTACTGCGGAGGTGCTATTTCTACCCAGGTCAATTCCATCAAGTTTGAAAGTGACTGAGCTGCAGTTGGCTTGGGAGTCCATCCCCCATCCATCCCCCAAAGCCAGCTGGATGGACATGTGAACAGAATGGACATGGTAGACCCCAATCCTGCCTGGAACTTAATCCTCCCCTCTCTCTTGTGGGGAGAAAGTAGCCCTTGCCATAGGATGTGGAAGAGCGGCTGGATGCTCCCACGTTATTTCTGACTAATTCTGGCATAGCGCCTGGTAAGAGCCTTCTTAGAGCTGGTGACACCAGATCCTACCCGGGTGTCCTAATTTTGTACAGTTTTATTTTAAAAGGCTGGTGGTGCCATGGAGTTCAGGTTCCCGCCCACCTTGTAAAGCAAAGAAAATTTATATTTTCAATGAATCCGTTTCTTTCTTTTCCAGCCAGTTTAACTGTTGAGACCTGTGAAATTTAAAGTACTGTAGCTTGTTTGTGGCAAGGCCTGAGTGACCTGCAGTTACAGCTCCCTCGCTGTGCACCTCCAGCTTTACAAAGCACAGCTCCAGAGGGGCAGAGTTTCTTCTACTTCCCTCTCTCTTTAAGGCCCCCTCTTTCAGCGACCTTCTCTTCACCCAGGGCAGACCCTGCTGGTGCCATTAGGCAGGGTAGCTAGAGAAGCAAAGTGCTTTTCAGCCCAGGGCATGTTGCCACCAGCGTGAGAAGCTCAGGGTTGAGGTTGGTAGGACTTCCCTCTTCCTCCTGCACCTTTGGCACTGATGTCAGAAGCTCAAAGCCCCAAACTCTGGGGGAGTTTCAGATGTGGTGTTCTTTCATAGGGGAGGCACAGGCTATGGAAGAAATGGGGACACTCCTGGCTGCTTGGCCACTTTGGGGTTTGGAGAATCCCTTGGCCCAATAGAAAGGTTAAAGAGGCAGGACAGATAAAGCCTCTGCCCCCAGCCTCCTTCCTCACCTAGCTCTCCACTCCCTTAACTCTGGGATGTTCTGACATCAATGATTTCCCCAAGTCTTCTCTAGGAATCTGACTCCCCAACACATGCTTTGTCCTAGCCATGTGCAATGCAGCTGGTGGGAGGTTGAGATGAATGTAACACGATTTGCCTTAAACTTCTCCCCTTGGCTGGATCAGTTGCCCTTTTCCTGCCTGAGGAGCCCCTTTGCAAAGGTAAAATGCCTGTTGCCCTCCGTGCTTTAGTGTCTGAAAGACCCGGTGCCAGAATGGAGACAGCAAGCAGAAGTTAGTCCTGGCTTTAAGTACAAGACAGGCAAGTTGCTGCTTGGGGTGCTGCTCTCCATTGCAACACAGCCTGATCTCCAGCATGGTTGAGAGCCAGAGGGCCAGGTAACCCAGGGCCTCATTTCCATCCTCCCTTTCCCTCCCAGCAGGATGGAGCCCTACAGATCTTAGACAGCTCTGCCCCCAGCGAAGGGCCCTGCTGTTACAGGAGGCCAGGTATGTGTGAGAAGCAGTGCCAGATAATTGAGGGTTGGAGGTGACTAACAAGCCACCCCCATGCACATTAACTAACTGCAACTTGTTGGAAAGAGCATCTCAGCACCGCGCCTTCATGCTTGCACAATAAGCCTCATCACTGGCTTCTTTCCATGCAGCAATGCACATGCTCAGGAAACCAGGGCTATTCTGTAGAGTTGGAAGGTGGGAAGAAAATACCCTCTGCCTTCCTGGGTAGGCTTTTGGAGCATAGTCCCAGCTGGGACCTGTCAAATACCCTTCTCTGTCCTCCTCACCTGGCACGTGAAAGACTGAACTGTCAACATTTTAAAGAGTTTTAAGTTTGGGGGGGTTGATGTGTGAGCACACAAGTGTCTCCTACAATAAAGAAGCTTGTGTTTGTAAGTTATGTGCATTTCACTGATGGGTTTTGACACTCGGAATGGGGGCGGGAAAAGGAGGGGGAAGCTATTTATCTGTGTCAAGGTGCACCACCTTGTCTGAGGTGTGGTCAATAGGTCTAACTGCATTTATCTGGATTAGGTAGTGGTTAGTCAGCCTCTAATAGCAGTGTTCTTACCCGAAGGTGGCATTGGACAATGTGAGATAAGGGATGGCCCATGCAGCTGGGAGCTAAGGAAAATAGGTGAGTGGAGGATAAATACCTGCCTTTATCAAGAACAGAAGGATGGGGAAGAATAGAAATGTGTAGGAGTGTGCTCTTTGCAGGAATATGAACAGGTGTAACGAGAGTGCACAAGAAGCTAGCCTGGGCGCTGGTGAGTGGAGTGAGGAACCCGTGTTATTTGTCTTTACATAGTGCTGGGACCCCCATTCATGTTCCTGGAGCCCATGGTGCTAGGTGCTGTACAAAGAACAAAAAGGCAGCCCCTGCCCCCAGGGGCTTACTGTCTAAGTAATGCAGGTTATGTCAACGGATCTGGTCAGATACTGGTTCTAACTAACCTTTTATGCAGCGGTGATGTCTCTCTGCTAGCTAAATCTGGCTTCCTATGTGCCGCAGTGGAGCAAAACATGTGTGCAAAGAACATAATGGGGGAAAAAATCCTTAGGTAAATACCCATGTAAAGAAGTTGTCTGCGTGCTTCACCTGCTATCTGAACACATGTGCAGGGAAGAGAAGTTCTTATGCCCGCATTAATTCAAGGGACTGACCAAGGTCTTATGTACTGTGGGTTTGCTGTGATGCTTTTTTGCTGCACTACAGGAAGTGCTGATGGGTGGTGGTGATGGCAACATTCCCTGTAAAGCAGCAATTTTCAATATACTGGGCATGTCACAAACATGCTGCTTGTGACTTTCTCTGTTCCCAGGGCAGGGGTGGCGAGGGCTGGGCAGTGACTTAGGCAGAATGGGGCTCTGTGGCTGCTGAGGCAAGAGCAGGCTCAGAAGGGGCTGAAGCTGCTCCTGAGGAGCAGGTAGGAAACAGGGTGGTCAGGCTGGGGCCAGGCATAGTGACCCATGGTGAGAGACATGAGCCACCAGGACCTACCTTCCCAGCCTGGAGCCACCCCCACTGCCAAGTCTCGGTACCTCTCCTTGCTCCCCCTCCTATCTCTGACACCCCAACTGTCCCCTGCTCCCCATTATAGTGCAGCCACCCCTACATCCCCTCTGCTCCAGCCTCCCTGTACTCCCCATTCAGAGCAGCCAGCTTGATTTCACCCCTGCTGCCCTTGACTCTTCCATTGGGCACAGGCTCTGGCCTGGTGGCTGCATCGCTTAGCAGCTCCCTGTGGTGGAAGTGTTTGGTGCAGGGCACCTGTCTGTACCCTCCCTCTGGGGCTAAGCTGGCCATACTAAGTCCCATCTGGGGCAGGGGAGCAGGGCAGCCAGTAAGCCCCCTCAGTGACCCCCTCCCTCTGTCCACAGAAATGGATGTATGGGGGCCTGGACACCATTCTTCCTACGGCACGTGGTCTGGGTCCAAAGTTCCCTGTAAACTGCATGCACATCGTGTCCACTTTTGTCTGGTCACCTTTGCAGTTGTAGTGTGCTATAGAGGGGTGAAAACATTATCTACTATAGGATAACTACAGGTGTTTTCTTCTCACTTGTAGCCACACCGCAGTAAGTGAGTCCTCTGTAAGACCACATTGGGTGGTGAGGTTAAGGGAATTGGTAAGCCATTTTGGGGTAACACACTTCTAGAGCCCTTTACCTCTAGGTTGCACAAGGTTCAGCCCTCTCACATCTCATAATTTTGGTGTGAAGTCATTAGGGGAGCTGGTCCAATAACACCAACTGAAGGGCCAGCAGTATGTGTCATGTACTGCAATGTGTGGAGATCAATACCAGGTCAAGCTGAACACATGCAAGACAGCCTTGATGCAGAGGGGAAGAGGGTACTGCTAATTCATCTGTGACAGGTATGGCAATTTCTTGCGATATCTTGGACAAACCTTATTGAACTAAGTTTCAGTATCCTAGGAGCTCATTGCATTAAAACTGCAAATGTTTGTTTCTTTGAGGTTGTGTGTAACTTGCTTAGGAGCCATGACTAATGTAAGCCTTGGGCAGTGCTACGGGCTGCAAAGGACTCTCTTAAACAATGGGCTAAAGTAAAGAATAAACTGTTAGTTGTTAGGAAATACTTGGGAAGAGGGGAACGTAAAGGTCTGGAGGAGGGCCTGATCTTCTAAAGCGTCACCCTTGGGGTGGGACCTTGGTCTAGGAAGTATCTACTCCCCGGATCAAGAGGCCCAAACTGCATAGAGGAGTAACTTCCAGCTTGTAGTGACAGGAAGACAGTGTGTGGGGTTTGAAGGACATTCACTGGCCACAGCACTTGTTGGGGGTGATCTCTGGTGAGCTTATTAACATGTGTGTAGGTTTTGATTGTTTTCTCTGTAATGCTTTTACAATAAACTCAAATAACTAGAAAGCTGTGTGGTAACTTAACTGTGGCAATGACACCATTGGCTGACTCTGGGAAGTAAAGCAGGCCTGCTTAGGCAGTCTGACTTTGTTGCGGAGCTCACTGCTTGGCAGGGAGCAATGCAACCTGAAAATACCCTGATCAGGAGGGGAAGAAAGGTGGGTCTTCACCCAAGAGCGGTGATGGCTGGAGAGCCAGAAGCCTGAGTGCCTTGGCTGGAGCATAGAAGGGAAATGCAGGTGCCCCGAACTGTAACAGTATCCCTGGCTGGAGGTTTTTGCCCACACCCTTGAGGCACGTTTGGACTCAACCCTTTTTGATCACCAAAAAGCCATCATTGTGGGGGAAAACTCCACCACTTGCATGTGTGGCTGGCTGGAACGCTGCCCTGTTGTAGAGGCTGCAGAATTTAGCCACTTGTATATGCATGTTGTGATCAGTCTTCTTCAGTGCACCTAGGAATGGAGCCACACCCCCTTCAGGAGCACATGGGTTTATAGAAGGAAGCAGCCTGTCTACTAAGTTGTGTACAGTGTAGTGCATTTAGACCCTAGCTTTGGCCTGGTTTCCTTGGGAGCAGAGAACAGTTCCATTTGAAAATCTTTAGTGGCTGTCCCTAATTCTGGAGCTATGCGGGTGGGTGGCTGCAGGACTGGCCTAAGCAGAGCAGGGATCAACTCTACAAGCGGCGGGGCCCCTACTGGTGCCCTACCCCGAATCCCCGCCCCATGGCCGGAGCTAGCGCCAGACTCCATCTCCACCAGGGTGCTGCTCTGTGCAGCTGCGCGCCCAGCACACGATTAACGCCTAAACTCCAGCGCCGCCGTTTCCTCCTCCCGTCGGGCAAAGGGCCGAGCCAGACCTGCCCTTTTTCTCTTCCAAAGGGTGCAGGCGCTAGGCGACCGTAACACAGCCCCTGGCCCTAGGGCTGCGCCTGGCTCCCCGTTTCTGCCGAGCTAGTGCCCGAGGCGCTGGGGCAGGGGAAGGCAGGCGCCACCTCCCAGTCCGGTCCCGCCTGACCCCGCCAACGCTGCATCCCCGCGGGCCCCTGGCCGCCCCCTAGCGAGGCCTGCGGGCTGGAGGCTCCCAGCTGGGGGCCCGCGGTGTGCGGGGATTCCGGAGCGCGGAGAGGCCGGGCCCCTCCGCTTGCCAATGGGAGCCAGGCGTGTGGGCTGAGAGGCGGGCTCCGCCTGTGCCGGCCGGCCGGGCTGAAAGGGGCCCGAGGGGGAGGCCAATGCCAGTAGTAGCCGCCGCATCGCTGCTGCACCTGTCCCGGCTGGGTGGAGGGAGGCGGCCGGGACCTGTCTAGCGCCGCGGCCGGCTTTGGAGACGCACAGGTGGGTGAGAGGCGCTGCGGGCTAGTGTATGGCCGGGCTGGGGGGCTGTTCTCTCTCTGGGCCCGGGCCGGTGTTGGGGGGCAGCTTCTCTGTCTCTAGGTGTCCCCCCCGCGGGCCCCGATCGCCCTCTGCCTGGCTCTGCGCTAGCCTCCCGGGGACCCGAACAGGCTAGTGGACTCCAGCCCGGACCTCCTCCCCGTCACCCCGGCCGCAGCAAGGGAGCGCCCCCCAGCCCATCAAAGCGGGGGTCGTGATCCGACCGCCTGGCTAATCGCGGCCCCAGGGCTGGGATCGCCTCGGCTCTGGACGGGATCTCAGAGCGCTCCAGGTGTTGGAAGGGAAGCCCAGCTCCCGGAGCGGGCTGCAGGGTAGTAGCCAGCTCGGAGCACGTGGGCGAGGTGTGAGCTGGATGAGCTACAGCTTGGGATGCGGCTGTCTGCTCTAGCTAGGGTGACCAGACAACAAGTGTAAAAAATCGGGACAGGGGGTGGGGGGTAATAGGCGCATATATAAGAAAAAGCCCCCAAAATCGGGACTGTCCCTATAAAATTGGGACATCTGGTCACCCTAGCTCTAGCTGAATTTGCAAAGGACTCGCGCTCCTCAGAGCCCATGTAAAGTAATTCAGCCAGTGGTGTTCCCTGTGTTGGCAGGCGTGCCTTTGGCAGCATTGCCCAGGAAATAGGACCTCCACATACGTGCTACCCTTAGCTGGCAAGCTGTGCTCTTTTGCTACTGCAGTGAACCAACCAGTACAGTAGCTGGTCCAGTTTTACAAGCCTTAGCCTGGAATCGTACCCTGCTGCTGCAGAGGGGCGGAAGCAGCTCCCTGTCCCCATGGCCTTTCGTTTCATCTGCAAATGTCTCCTCTCCTGCTGTTGACTGCCTCCTCTGTCTTAATCAAGATGTTAAAATAAATCTGGGCAAATTCCTGCTGAATAACTTGGAAAACTTGGCCCTGTTTTCAGTTTGCAAGTTTTTCCGCAGAGGTGTTGTGAAATTCTCAAATCGGCTAATCAAGATTATTCACCAACTTCTTCCATTAATTCTTCTTGGTGTGAAGTGCCAGGTTTATAATCAAATATATGATTAGAAATGTTCTCACCCTTGGCTGGTTACATAAATAGGTACTCAGATAGTGTGAAGCTGGGTGTGGTTTAAGAGCCTAG